AAACCTTTGTCAACTCATGAAAGAAATTTCACTCCAAAAAAATGTTCTACAAATGCAGTTAATCAAATAAAAGCTTCAAAGCTCAAATTTTGGTTCTGATTACATGGATGTGACTCCTTTGTGGTTGTAGTGTTTCTGTTTTAATAAAAATTCAGATTTTAAAATTAAGGAATTATGCACATCCTCTGCTTTCCAATCTCTGCTATTCTGAGTATAGGAGCCCATGGCTGCCAGTAAACAAACAAACTCAACTATTCTAAGGTCATTAAATTGAGGACCATGGATTTATGAAACACATGGTGCAAAAACATCCTTTAGAATAACAGTAAACTCTTAGAAATATTTTTTTAATTTTGATGCTTTCAGAGTCTTATTCAATGTCAAGCATTGGTATGTCAAAATCCATTATTGTTTACAAGCATCACCATTTTGCTTTGCAGTTTAAATATGGCGACATCTCAGCTGGAGATAACTTCAGTACAAGTCCAGAATGAGGCATCTAGATCAGTTGCAGAGCCCCTAATGGTTCTAGATGCCTCTGCTCCTGCAGAAATGTGAAATGTGGCTTATTAAAAAAAAAAAAAAAAAAAAAAAAAAAAAGAGGAAGGAAAAAAATGCTGTTGCTTGAAAGCTACAGTATCATAGTTGGACCAGAAAAGTGTAAAATAAATCTGTAGTCAACATTATTATAGCAATTCTGCCTCTAGAGGGCATTACAAGCTAAATGTTTTCTCTGACAAGTGTTGAGAACATCTTGGATCAGCCCAGAAGACACTTCTTAAATTACCTAAATTAAGAGATTTTCTATGTTTACAACACCAGCTAGGTAGGAGACAAACAAAGTTATTGGGCAGCAACACTAAAAGATCCTTAATCCTGAGTAACAGCAGATAGATTTGGTACGAAAAGACTTTAGCAGACATTTTCTAATATCCCTGAAACTTCTCATGATGTGAGATCTTGTGAGCAACATTTAGCATATTGCTGTTCCATTTTAATGACTTTGCCTGCATCCTTTTTATGAGTGCTGTGATCCCCAGTGGTGGTTAAACCTGAAGATCATCGACCATTAGCATAGAGGCTTTGAATCCTTAGCACCTGGCATGTAGACCAGTGTATTCAATAGAGAAATAAATAACGTTATTATTTGACTCCCTCAGTATCTATGATCTCTACAGCTTGCTAAGACATCAGTGGACATCGAAGTATTACATTCCAGGCTTTTTACATGTTAGACAAAGTTATCTAAGTCACGTATCAGAGGGATTCTGTTAGCGAGCTGGTGTGACAGGTTCTTCCCAGTAAGTGCTGCTTCCTAAAGGTATTGGATAAGCCTCTTCAGCCATGTAGTATGAAAAAGCCCAATAGTATTTTTTTTCCTCTGTACATGTGGACTAAATCAGTCCAAATCACAAAAAAATATTTGTGATTCTGTGGCTGAAAACCAAGGATCATGCATGTCTCACTGCATGCTAAAGGCCATATTTTGTTATTGCAGAAAACAGCAACCAGGTTGCTTTGGTGTAGTTTGGCTATATATGTTTCACTATTCACATTTGTTCAACTACAATTGACTGAAATACGTTTAATGGGGCAATTAAAGTAATTATGCTTCTTTTTTTGAAGATTGATATCCAGCTTCTTATATCTGTCTGTTTCTCTGGCACCACAGTGATTCTTTTGGATTTTTAGATACTGCTGTGAGTAGTTTGCTAAACGTCATAGCCAACTACATTTTTAAGAAGCTACATATGTTGCAGACTCATCAAGATCCATGAACCCATTTCAAATTTTCAGTGTTCCTTTCACAGTGCCGCTATTTACATCCATTCCTTGTGTTCAGATTTTGTACTGTGAGAATAGACTGTAACATCCCCTATAAAACAGAAAAATCTTCTGTAAGACACTTCATTCAGTATTAGAACGTTATAAAACAACAGTTTTATTGATAAGGAAAACCTGCAGTAAATAAAACATTAAAAATACATTACTCAAATACATTACAAAAAGTAATTCGATAATTAAAATTGATATGGTAAACTATATCAATAAGAAAGATAAACAGGAGTAAGTAAAATCACACAATCACTTAGTGTTTATATTGATGGACTGGTTACATAATGACATCATTGAAATTCTTACTGTCTGTCTCATTATATTATTGCAGTGAATAAAAATATCAAAATTTTAGCTTTAACTGGCTTTAGGTAAAACCTGTGAGTTTGCTATATGCAAACATTTTGATTTAAACAAGAGAACAAAACAAAGCTTCCTTTGCCAGGCACACACATTCACCTGCCACAGAGGGTTACCAAATGGAAGTGGCAGAGTCACAGAAATTAGGTCCACCCCAAGGCTAAAACTTATCTTTTATCTCCTTTCCTATACACTGCAGAGCTGCTTGGCATTCACTTCCAAATTATTCTTTGAATCATTCATGATGTCCAGCTCCTCTACACAATAAAAACCTACTGGTGTACCCTGTGCTATATTATGTATTCCGAGCTTCTTTTGTAATCAAGGGAGTCCAACACGCTGAAGCTATCCCAAGACTGGCTGTTCCTTTGGATATTGGGAGTTTTCTCTATCAGCCTCATCCATATGTAGAAAAAATGTAGGGGCAGGTTCTCTAGTCCACGCTCACAAGTTCCTGGACTGTGCAGCATCTGGATGGGAGTTAAAACTTAAAAAAAAGGTCAAGATCCATCTAAAGTTTCAGAGATTGATATACTTTTGTATTTAAAAATATATTCAAGGTAATCCTCTATTAACTCTCTGCATGTGTTCAAGTGCAGTTTAAGACAGTAATGAAAATAATAAAAAGTCTCTACATAATGGAAGAATTGGTAAAGATCACACTAGGATATTTATCAAATGGTTTGTATAAATGCACTGAATAAGTGCTGAATGTAGTTAATGAGAAACAACAGAATTCTGGGATTATAGTGTGGCCACACAAAATCATTTGGATATTATAAGCCCACAAATGACATAAACTCAAATAAAAGAAAAGTATTGGACTCCCTATGAAATATAATTAGCAATAGAACCCCAAACCTCAAACTTGGCAGGTTTTAGAGTTGCTACTTTAGCAAGTTTGTGGATGTGTATTTATTGAATGAAAAGGCCTGGTTTTGTGCAAGAGGGTTTCTGGCAAGCAGATAGCTGCTCAGAAATGGAAAAGTAGTGGGTTTTTTTCTTGAAAGGAAGAACAATTAAAATGAGAAGTGTTGGTTTTAACCTCCATCTGCGCTCCAGACCCTTAGCTATTAGCACTAGTGCCAGTGCAGTACAGGCTTCATGGTAGACTTTGTTTGTCCTGGGGTCAGAGATACTAAAAGGAAGAAAGAGAAAGAAAGAAAGAAAGATTAATCTGATAAAGGCATTGCCATTTCTAATCGGACTGATGGGAAACTGTGGTATGAAGTTAAAGAGGCGATGCAGGGTGAATTACTGTGATGAACTACCTTAAAGCTGAAGCAATCAAAGAGATAGCTCTCACATATAAAAATGACTGTGGCATCTTTATTCATCAACAGTTTTGCACAAGTGTCTCATGTTCAATCCCTTCCAAGAACAACTAAAGCACTCTGATACATTTGATCAGATTAAATCTTATCGGGAAGACTCAGCCACCAAGGTGGCTGCTTCTCACTCCCCAGAGTTATTTTCTCATTGCCATGCAGAGGAATGGACTTTTCAAAGCTTGAAAATGACAAACTCCAAAAAGTAAGAACAGTACAGCCTGGTGCCTACACTCATAACCTACTGTAATGGAATTGAAAGTGCTTTCACTCTCATGTATGATAGCACTAAGACTTTTTCTCATTGGCCGACAGCTGGAAACCTGCAGAAGTGGAATTTGTGACTTCTAATTCAGAAAGTATTCATACAAACAGACATCTCATGGAGGGTTTCTGCACATTTGTAGGGGACAAAAGAATCACATAGCAGAATTCAGTAATAAAAAGCCTATCATTGAGTAACAGATAAACAGACACATTTGATTCAAATATATTCAAATTATATGAAAAGCAAACATGGTATCCTAGTGAATTCAGCGTAAAACTGTAAAAACTCACTCACATAATTTTAAGAATTAGCTTATGATTTGCTCTTAAGAAATGCTGAAGACTTCCCATGATGCTCAATTCTTTGAGCCTTTTGAAGTTAATGGCCTCTGAAGATCCGCAGTATTTTGCAGGATCTCACACTGGTGAACACAGCAAACAAATATCAGGTTTGTGTGACCAAATGTGTTCTTCTTTGCCAAGCATCACATGAATATGTACCCACATATCAGTCTGCTTAACAGGAGACTAGAAGTAAATACACAGCTATTGACGAAGAAAATTAAGTGGATATAAACCCCCTGATCTGATAACAAGTTGTATGTGTTGTTAGAGCTGTTTTCAACACTGACGTTCTATCACCCACAGAAGAGCTAAAAGGATCTAAAACAGTATCTTCCATGTAAATAGACTACCCTCTCCTTCTAAAGAGATGGATCAGTATCCAAAAAAGGACGTATACTAACTCTGAAAATGAACAACAATGATGAACCAGGTACATTTATAGTTGTGAGAAAAAACAGGTTTTAAACATTTTTCTTTTTCTAGTGTTAACCTCACTCAAATATCTGTAATAAATACAATGTGATTCCAAGGCTCTTACTTGATTACTCTGCTTTTGTATCCTAAAGAAGTTACATTAAATAAAATGCAGCTTTTCAGGAATAGTTTTTCTAAGATAACACTTTTTTGTTTTTTGGTGAAACTGTAAAAACCTATTTTTTTTTTTATAAATCTTGGAAGTTATATTGCTTAAAGATCAGGCAAAGTCAATTAACACCACTTCAGGCATAGTACGCATCACTTTGCAGAACGAGCACTTTATGGGACATTCAGTCAACATACTGCTGTGCATTTGCTGAAATATGTTTATTGATTAATTATCACTTATTGTGATAAGTGTCTTATATCATGTAGTTTACAGGACAATTACACAATTTGCCCAGTTCTGGAATATGTTTTTCCAAACTTTTCGAAGAGAACAATCGATGGTAACACAGTTTGAAAGTCCTAAAAAAAAAAAAGACACAAAAAAAAGTGTTAAGTTTGGTTTTCATGTTTTTACCTTGGTTTTTTTAAGGGATTCTAGCTCTAAATATTGTCCTCTAGCTGCATTTCATTATGAGTTAGAATGCAAATTATGCAAAACAATGTATATGAAACACACATTTTTGCATTGTACATACATTATTTTGAAGACAAGCACAAGAATTGATTGATTTAATTGCAAGCAAATATGTATTTCAAACCCTAAATAACTATAGGCGCTGCAAAAATTCTCTGCTCCCAAACCTAGATTTTATAGTCTTTAGAAAATCATGGTACACAAAATCATACTCTCCTCCATGGCAACCAAGTAGGTTAAAGACAGCAAGACATCTTTGCAGTGTTTCAACTTTTCTACCTTGGTTAACATTAAACATGGATATTAAACCAGCTCCATGGTAAAAAAAAGGAATATGTATTAAATAAGTATTAGTGGCAACAACTTGATTAAGAGTTCTGGTAGAAAAGATACAAGCAGAGTGATTCCTAACACGTTTTTTTACAGGAAAAGTTCTTGGTTATTAGATTCAATTTTTCAAAATACAAATGCTTACAAATCTCAACTGAATAAGAGAAATGCAAGTGAACCTGCGCCTTAAGAGTACAACGTAAATACAATCAACAAACAAGAAAGTAAAATAAGCTAAGTATTCTAAACAGTATTTTGATTCAGCTACTTACTGATAAATGGTAAATTATTAGCAAGTCCGTGGTGTTTAAGATCAAGGTTTTCAAACATTCTTAATAAAAGTATTTTCTTTGACCCTGTGGGAGTAGTATCAGCAATACAAAATATTTGTCTATAATTGTCTTCCCTTTCTGAAAGTAACATGCCACAGATGAACTACCAGCTTTCCAGGTTCTTATGATTAATTTTTAAGAAGCTGGTCTGAACACTTTCTACTGATTTCTATTGTCAACACGATGCTTTGTGAAATGGCTTCATAAAATGTCTGAGGCCATGAGTGAATGAAAGCTAAAATTTTTACCTGTTCAACACATTTCACAATTTCAAAGGTTTGTTTTTCTCTTAAAAACAGAATGAAAACAATATTTTTTATTTTTTCCTGAAAAGTGACATGAAGCAGAATTATCATTCCCTGCAGAATTTAGTTTTAGGTACTTCACAGACCACAGTTCAGCTGAATCTCCATAAATAGACAGAGCAACTACAACTTCTGGTAAGCTTCATGTGAACACTGACATGGCCCACCTGAGTTTCACCTGCATGGCGTATTGCCAAACTGTGACCATATCATTTCTTACATCTCATACTTACAATTATTTGGTATGATTCCTCCTACATTCTGATGCATAAATCTTAAAATAGCAAGATAGACATATAAATTCAAAATCAAATACTCCCTGTGTGGTGTGAAAGTGAGTACTGCCCCATTCTTAACTGTTCACAAGATTTTATTTTTCATGTTACTCTATGCCTTGCACGGCTCAATTTCTTAACAACCAGAAACAGTCTATTTGCGTATTTTCATATTATACTTTAAGAATGGCACAGTATTTTGATTTTCATTGTCTGTTTGGCATCATAAGCACTTTCTTACTGCAGGAAAAGTTGTCCACATAATTATTATAATAAATATTATTATAACTCCAGCATAACTGCAAATAGTTTCCTCCTAAAGTGAAGCTAGTTATATTTAATTCAGTAAATTCACCAGGCTAATATTGTTCAAGGGAATAGAAAATAAACCCAGCTCTAGTTGCCAAGAAAGCAAACACATAATACAGCTATAATTTAGGATCAAGCAGTAATTCAGAGCAGAATACGGTATCCTTTATTTTGAAAAACAGGAAGTATGTTTTTAATTTACATGCAGGACAGTTAGGTACAGTTTAACAAAAAAAGCAGCAAACTCAGGGAGAGACGGGGAACACAGTACAAGGTGCACACCCCCCACATCAGGATAAAATCAGGAATGGTAAGTCTGAGTATTGAAGAAGTCTTCATTTGCTAGAGCAGACGGCTTTTGCTATTAGGCTGCCTGGCCAAACAAAAACAATTGGCTGCCAAAATTAGCTCCTTGGGACAATTTAGGAGCCTTTGAAGTGAACAGTTTTTTGAGCTGGAACTAAGCCCAGGTCCAGCTTCAAACTCAAATCAAAATGACAAAGAGGAAATTTTCTGTGCCACACGCCCCCTCAGTGTAAGATTACTTTGGGTTGGCAGCTGTAATGTTTATCTTGTTATTCAAAGCTATTTCACTAGATACTCACAACTGAGCATTTAAACAACTGGCTCTGATTATGACGACAGCAGTTATGTTTGACCACATTTAGGAAACATCATACAGTCGGATGGATAAATAAAAGTGTTGCTGGCTTTACAGTTAGACTAAAGAAGTTTAGAATGTGTACTAGATAAATGTTGCACAGTGTGCATATAAACTATAAGTATCTTTTTAGGAAAAGAACCCCAGCCATTTCTGCATCTGAAGATAAAGATTTTAATCAGGTTTCAACAGCATGAGAAAGTAAGGCCTGAAAATACCACCCCGGCCTTGCAAGATCTACCTCACAGCACTGAAGAGTCTGTCCCACTGTATCATTGTAGCAGCATAAAGGGAAAGCAATTGGAAGACAGGTTATCATGTCTATCTAATGTGATGGTGAAATGTAGGTTCAAATTGTGCAGTGAAGCACCGCAATGCACTGCTGGTTGATTCTGGTAGACTGCCAGGATCATCTTGAGTTTAAGCCGATTGATTGCTACATAGCACAGAAGTTATGAAGTTATGTAGATAATCCTTTTGAAGAACAAAAGTTGTGAGTGGAGAAAAACAGGTGGCTTCAAAATTATTTTCACCTTCAGTCCGTCATTGTTGTTAGCTGGAATGAATTAGCTTACAAATATGAATTCCTACATATTGGTGAGATTGATCCCACAGTTTTGCAGACTAAAAATTATAGGAGCATGGAGACGAGCTTTACGGAATTTTTCCGCAATGCGTTGTTAAATCATGTCATATAATTCTCAGCATCAGAGACCCGTAATCCCCAGGACCGAGACTTATTTTTAAATAGGTCTCAAACAAAGTTAATATAACACTTCCTTTTTAAACTTGTCAAGCTTTGACTCCTTTCACTCTAGTAAATTGTAAGTGACTCAAGTTCAACTGACAGAGATTAACTAGACCTAGGGACCCTTTTAATATATTTGACTACTTGACTGTCATGTGTGCTCATCAGTTCTAAACAATGGAGTCAAAAAAGGTGACATAAAGCCACCAAAGGTTTGTCTCAATCAGCACACTCTGATGTTGTAGATTAGACTTGCCAAATGCTCACTTGGTTTATCTTTGGAATGTTATTATTCAAGCAAAATCTAAAGAGATTTTACATCTGACTGTACAGACATACATAAATACAGACCATGTACAAATAACATTGGCAAATCAACAAGACCTTATAGACCTACATACCAACTTGAAGGCCTTTGAAAAGATGTTTGCTTATATTCTAGTGATAAATTTGCACTAACAGTGTTTCTTTCCAAGTAATTCTGAGAGTACTGTACTATTTCCTGTAATACAAAAATGCACTTTGGAATAAGATAGAATTACAATTAAACATCTTGGAAATATCATGAAACAGAAAGTGAGATGCTTCAGACCAAAGCAAGAACAGGCAAACAGCAGTAGATTAAATGGAAATTAAATTTGCATTAAGATGTATGAATGCAGATTTCCATCATAGGTTAGGAGAAGGACAACTTGAAGATGTTTCAAAGATAAATTGTATAACCTCTCTAATGAAAACTACTCCACCTATAGCAGTGATTCAGAGCACCAAATTCTTTTCTGAGCCAATCTAACAATACTGAAGTCACTGTATAACTGCATGATGTCAACCACGACACCATGGGCTATGCAAAAGATACACGAATCCATTAAAGGTTTGGATCTTGGAAAAACTTTTTTGTAGTGTCGGGATTGTATCTGTTGCTCCTATAGAGACCTACAACTGTAGGTAACTTCCGTTAAGAATCAATGGCAGAAGGAACAACCAAAAAGTAGGCACATCCGCTAGAGTCCTAATTCTATCTTCATGCTACTGGACAGCAAAAACAGGGAACAAAACTCACTTTTCTTTAGTTTGAAATCAACATCCACAGGTATACATAAAGACTTCAGAAAATGCAATGGGAAATTCTGCATAAATGTCCATGCAGTAGTTACATCCTTAGTGCAGGGTAAGCTCACTGAGCTGCCTTCCTTTTCCCACAAAGCTGGGAGGCGCCTCATGTGCACACCTCATTTGAAAATGAGGCAGTACTGCCAAGTGCCACTGTAAAGCCATAGTCCACAACCCCCTCTGTTTAATACTAAGTGGTCATATTTAAGTATTCCCTATGTTCCCAATGATTGTAATAGTAAAATTAGAGTTTTAAATTGAGCTGTCATAATCAGCCTCCTGACCTATTAATAGTCACAGAGGTCTCTAACAAGGAAGCAAACCAGAAAATGCAAGCTGTTATAAAACTAAAATGTTGATCCAGCTAACTTTTATTCTTAGCAAATTTATCAATACTGGTTAACAATACTTCCAACTAGTACAGGGCCCTCTGACATGACAAAATGAGTGTAACAACCCATTCTGTCAATACAACACAAATGTCATTTCAAGTGCTCAAAACCCACTAAGCTACCCTAAAAAAGATTGATTTATCTGCTCCAGTGTTTCTTTGGGGCAAACTTTTCTCACAACTGAAACCAATTAGTGGGCTTGGCACTTGTAGTGCAGAATGTAGGTCAGCATCAAGTAATAAAAAAGTATTGACTTTTCTCTGTCTGTAAGCAGCATGAAAGGGGTGCCATGGCCTTGTCGTATATGAAAAGAGCTCCATTAATTTCACTTATTTCAACTGGGGCTGTCAAATACTAATGCTTCTATTGCACTTTTCACACAAAGTACATTGACACCAATCCTGGCCCCAGTGAAACAAG